GAAGGACACATCACAGACACAGTACACACAGAAACGACTCCCATAGTGGACGAACCATACTATACGCGAGTTTGAATTAAGACATATAGATGAATAATCTTAACAAGTTTTAGTATATACAAATTTTATTATTGTTGACGAATAATGTACTTTCTAAATAATTTTATGAAAGACACAAGATGGCAAACAGTGTAATAGCTTAGCATAAATAACGAACCTGAAGATGGCACTATGTGGCCGAAACATGTAGTAAGAAGCGACATATGAAATTGAGTGCACTACAAGATGGCCATTACATACATATCATGGATGAAAATCAGTGCAACAGGACGCTAAAGTACAACATTACAGTTACTATTGTTAAAGAACATGCTATTCTCCATTGGAGAAAATCAGTTGCCTAGTCATGAAGGAACTCAGGAATTTTTCACCAGTGATGCAGACCATAACTGGTTTACATGATATTACACCTTTTTCTGTAAAACTTTCCTTCAGATGTTCATATCCAGTAAGCATTCTTCATACCTAACCCAAAACCTCAAACTGTATGATATATTATATCAAATATAAGTCACTATGGCCTTGTCCAGTTCTTCATATTTTGATTTTCTATCTTTTTGTGACCATAAATAATTTCACATACATGGACAAAGCATGAAGTAAAGCCAAGTTCTTGTGAAACCCCAGCTAAAGGTCAAAATACTATAATAGTGTGTCAGTTGATTAGGCCTATTGCACACCTCAGGGTAATGACATCTGAGTACAAACCATAAATGACAGGGTATTCTGCACTGTGAAATCAAATTTAACATTCTTCAAAGGAAGAATGTATAAAGAATAAGAATAAATAAAGAATGTATAAGAATAAAAGGAATGTATCTTTCACTAAAGGTTTTTAACAGATTTTCTGAAGTCAATAAAATCATCAAGTGGGACTTCATTCAAGTTTCCCAAAATTGTGCTGCCTTGCTGCCTTTCATCCCAAAAATTTCTTATTCTTTTGCTATAGCATATATTTTATGACCTCTGCACCTATATCATCAACTTCAAAAAAGTTGAAATAATCATTTTTGCTTTTATATAAGCCTTAGTGAAAACACTGAAGCTGGGATAGTGTGGTCAGTATAGCGACTGACTACAGGATGGACAGACGAGGGGTTGCAGTTTGAGTCCCAATAAGGGCAAAATTTTTCTCTCCTCCTTCGTCATCCATACCAGCTCTTGGACCCACCCAGTCTGCTATCCAATGGGCAGTGGGGGGCTCTTGTTTTCTTACATTTCATTGCATGTAGGACTGATTTTGCAAAGAAGGGATTTACAGTTTTATATAATTAACTTCATGAAGCAGAGCCCCTCTTCAGGTGAAAGTCACTGGGCTGCTCAAGAAATTTCCCAGCTTTCATCAAAACTAAAGATAACATGTTGAAAAGAATCTACCACGTGATTCTATCTTAAGTTAGGTGATCCAGTCCATATCTTTCACACCCTTTTTTTAATATTCATTTTAATAGCATCCTCCCAACTATGCCTAGCTCTACAGTATCTTCTCTTCAGATATACCAAACAATATTAATACACCAAAAGAAAATTTTCCTACTCCTTTCCTCCCCCAATCTGCCAAATCATATATTTTATGTGGAGGTGATAGATACCCATGCAAGATATATTAGCAGTGGTTAGTTACTGCATTAACGATGCTATCAAGAAACAGTTGCCAGATTACTTGAAACCCAGATGTTTCTGTTTATGTCATATTTGTCATATTAGTTCTAGAAAAAGTTAACAGAACCTCAGTTCATTCACATATTTGGTATTATGAACATTGATCTGATTGAACAAGAGCACCTAAGTGGACATTTTAACCATGCATATTTTCATTTTTATGCATGCTTATTGCCATCTCTTCCAACAGAACCAGTCTACTACTTTTAATATGTAATTACAACCATGGCCATTATTTATATTGTGCTCTGAGAATTTGACAATGTAAATACAATTATGTGTTAATTTTAAAATAATATATTTTAAATTGTATCACGCTTATTCATTCTTAGTTTTTAATGTGTGACGGGATAAGTAATGGATTTCTTATATATGTGCACCAACTTCATTCCTAAATCAAAACTATATGTAGTGAAGGTTAACGCTTTCTCATTTCATATTGACAGGTAATGACTATTTTATGCAAGTTTCTGTATTTTTAGCTACATCCCTTTGAAGTGGACATATAACATGATCATGTCATCTGTGTTTATGTGCCCCTTCCAATTTTTTAACCATATGACAGAAGATAGGTGTCAGGATAGCTCAGTCAGTGTAGCAGTAGGCTGCAGGCTGGATGGCCATGGTGCAGTTCCCAGCATGGACAAGATTTTTCTCTTAATATGATCCAGACCAGCACTGGGGCTCACTCAACCTCCTCTCCAATGGGCAATGGGGCTCCTTCTCCAGGGATAAAGCAGGGGAGTGAAATTGACCACTCCACTCTCCCATATATCTTCATGGCATGGTGCTTAATTAATTAAACAATGGGACAACTTTGCCTTTTTATGTCAGAAGATATACAATTTGTTATGAATGTTATGGGGTTGCAGACCACCTCAAACTCATCATTTTAATGTTGTAATAACAACATAGCGGACATACACGCTTGTGAGGTGAAGGTAGCACTTAGCATCACTTGTTATGGGATTGTGAAATGATGCATGGCTGTAGCTCATCAAAAAATATGTTGAGTTTTGTTAAAGTATTTGTGTTTAGAATGTAAAACAGTAAGATGGAAACTGTAAAAAAGTAAAGCTATCCCTGTACCAGGCCATGAAGGCCCATAGGGTTGTGAGACGTTGAGGGTCCCACATTATCTAGACAATCGGCTCAAAGATGGGCAGTAAGATTGTCAGCCTTACGCGCTGGCCGCGCTTTACTCCCCAGGAAAATTATTTAATTAATTCCTGGTACTCATTTCTGTTAGAGGCTGAGTGAACCCAAGGGCCATAGTGCCATTCTGTCCTCTCACAAACAATTTACAAACACTTCTAACAATTTATCATTACGACTCTTCTCTTCATTTCATGGCTGAATACACTTTACATAAAAAAAGACACATTTCATGAAATCTCTCAAAATGGCTGCCTATAAAAATGTACAAAATGAAATAACTTTGTTTTTACTTCTGTAAAGCTGGCTGGTCATATTTTGATTTTTGGTAGGAGCAGTGGGATTTTTTCTTCACCACCACATCCAAATGTCTGTGAGGCCCATCCAGCCTCCAATCCATTGGAGAATGGAAAAATCTTTCTCCATGAGTGAAGTTCATTTGAGCATAAGGCTAACCATTCACCTCCATATAGTGCCAGAGCTTTGTGCATGAACCTATACATCAACATGGCACAGTGCTTGGGCACAGGGACAGCTGTCCAAAACATTTTTCATGTTAATGTTTTTATACAAAAGTTTACTTAGGCCTTCATGTAAAGTGGCAGTCATCATTGGCCAAGTGAGTGGATTATACCCTTTATATGCTTCTGACTGAAAGAGAATTTCCAGTACAAAATTTAAACTAAACATATTGACTGGACAGGTAAGATACCATGTGATTTCCCTATATGGGGTTCTTATGCTATTCATCTCACTGCATTTAGAATGCCTGCAGTATGTTCATGTGCCTTACTTTTAAATTAGGAAATGTTATTTTAAGTTAATAGTTGGTAGTTCTAGACTATGGGGTATGTCGCATTGATGACAACTGCTTAAAAGCAGTCTTTTTGATCATAAGACATGTGAAGTGTCAACATTTTTTCAAAGCAGCACTTCCTGTATTGTAGAGACAGTAACTGTGCACGCTTTACAGAAATTTATATTGGTACGATTTGGTGTGTCTGATATCTCTGATGATAATATTTCTGTTCTCTTCTAACATCAGTTTCTGTATTTGAAAGGCTGAAATGGCTTTGCGGTCAGAGGGCTTTGTGGACATTGACATTCATACATTGGAATCCGTTCTGGCCCGCGAGACCCTCAACTGTAAGGAGATGCATTTGTTTGAGGCAGCGCTGAATTGGGCAGCTGCTGAATGTGCACGGCGGGACTTGGAAGCCACGCCACAGAACAAGCGCACTGTTCTGGGTAGTGCTTTGTACCTGGTGCGCATACCCACAATGAGTTTAGAGGAGTTTGCTAATGGAGCTGCACAACTGGGGATTCTTACACTGCAAGAAACAATTGACATTTTCCTCCACTTCACAGCACACAACAAGCCTCAGCTCAGTTACCCCACCAAGTCACGTGCAGGCCTTAAACCTCAGGTACATAACCTTTATTTTACCACTTACAATTTTATTCTCATGATCTGCAGAAAGTTAACAACAGACTGTATATGCCCCAAACACTTGTATGAATAATTAGTTCTTTGTGTAAGTGATCTTATTTATACATTATACCATTTTCACGTTTAACAGGTTTGCCACCGTTTCCAGTCATGTGCATATCGAAGCAATCAGTGGCGTTATCGGGGACGTTGTGATAGCATTCAATTCAGCGTTGACAAACGGATCTTCGTGGTGGGATTTGGACTGTATGGATCATCTGGAGGAGCTGCTGATTACAATGTTAAAATTGAGCTTAAGCGTCTGGGTCGGGTCATGGCAGAAAACAACACAAAGTTCTTTTCAGATGGGTCAAGCAATACTTTCCATGTTTACTTTGAGCATCCTATTCAGATAGAACCTGAGTCCTTCTATACTGCATCAGCAATCCTAGATGGCAGTGAGCTAAGCTACTTTGGTCAGGAAGGAATGAGCGAAGTGACTGTCGGATGTGTAACCTTCCAGTTTCAATGTTCATCTGAAAGCACGAATGGGACAGGAGTCCAAGGTGGACAGATACCTGAATTGATATTCTATGGCCCTTCTCCAGCTTCAGACGAACACTAGTATGGATTAAACTTCCACATATTTTGAGATGTATTTTTTTTTCAAGTTGTATAGTTCTGTTCCTTCCAAAACAGGAACTAATTTTTTTCAGTGGTGAAGCCCCCCCCCCCAACAGATTATAGGCCTTCAAATTTTCATAACAGTTCTCCAAGCCATGAGTTATCTTCATTACCTTCTACCTGAAGTGATAACACTGCTGCAGTATATCACAGAAGCATTATCCCATCAGTGTTTGAAAAATCTTCATTGATTTAGAATGATTTAGAATCGCCCATTCTCAAGCACAGTATCTGTTTCAATTAGTTCATCTGTGAAATGGTCACATGAGGAAGAGAGAGTGTTTTAATTTCAGGTAGTGAAAGTGTGACAGTTGGCAAGGGAAATGCTTTGAATCCATCACATTGTCTTAGTATGCCACGAATGAAAATGTCCCGATCCCTCACGATTATGTTTGCAAATTCTCTATGTGCAGCTTATACAGGAACTGTCTTTCTACATTCCATATGTTAGATATTAGATATTATGTTTTTAGAAAGAATATTGTTTTGTTATGACAACCTTACATTGAGGACTGTTAAGTATAGAACTTCATATGGCAGCGTTCATCACAAATCTCTATATATACACAGTGTGTCCAGGTTCTATTAGGACTGTGTTCATTAAAAATATAAGACGTGAATTATATTCAAAATAGTCTCCTTCTGAATCAATACATAGCTGAAATTGATCGAAAAGTTCTTGAAAACAGTCACTGTATTCCTTTCGTGGAATTGCATTTAAAACTGCAGTAAATTCCCTTTGGATGTCCTGGATGGTGTTGTGACAGTCTCTTTTCATCACCAACGTAACTTTTGGGAACAACCAGAAATCTGCTGGAGCCAAATCTGGCGAATACGGAGGATGACCAAGGACTGTGATCCCTTTTCTGGTCAAAAAATCGCGCACAATCTTCGATTTGTGGGGTGAGGCATTGTCGTGGAGAAGTGACCAGGAACGTTGCTCTCGATATTCAGGTCGAATTCGAAGAATTCTTGCCCACAGTGATTGAGGACTTTGAGATACTAATCAGAATTCACTGTCTGACCTGGCAGAAATTCCTTGTGAATGATTCCTTTGGAATCGAAGAAAACAGTTAGCAGTATCTTTACTCGACTCTTTTGAATGCGCACTTTCTTCGGACTCAACCACGCTGCACTCTGCCACTTTGTGAGAGGCTCATATTGAAAACACCATGTCTCATCACCAGTAACAATCGATTTTGTATCACTTTGGGCTGACTGTAACGTGTCTTTGCACTGTTCCACTCTGGCATGTTTTTCATTGCCTGACAGTGCGTGCAGTATAAACCGCACACAGACCTTCCGTTTGCCCAAATCCTCAGTCAAAATTTGATGCACAGTACTTTTCTGTATTCCCAAAAGTTCCTCGATGAGTCTTGCAGAAACACATTTGTCTGATGCAAGGATTTCAGTCACTTTTTTCACATTTTTTTCAATGCAACTTGTTCTTAGCTTTGATGCATGTGGAGCGTCTTTAGTGTTCTCCTTGCCATCATGAAATACAGCACACCATTGAGAAATGTTCGAGCGACTCAAACAATCACTACCCTACACACTTTTCATCGTTTTGTATGCTTCTCCGGCTGTTTTGTCTAACTTCAAACAAAATTTGATGTTGGCTCTCTGTTCAACTGCCATTTTCCGATGAGCGTCAGAAGAGTACTGATACATTCAAGGTCAGAACACATGAGGCAGCAATGCTTGCACTTTGATTATAGACAGCCACAGTGGAAACTTCAAGAATCTTAATGCCACAACTCGCCAACAGATGTTGCAGGGCAAAATTTAAAAAATGAGTCCTAACGGATCCTGGACACACCGTGTATATACATGCCTTTGTAAGTTTATAAGTATGTTCATGCTACCTTTTCTAATATAGAAAAAAGCACATTTTCATTTAAACATTCATAGATGAGGTAATATAGTACTGGATGAGCATTCTGTTTCTAAGTATAATAGTTTTATAACTCTGTAAATTTGTCATTATAGTGTGTGCCATACCTACACACAATCAGTATGCAATGTTGAAGTGTCTACAGAGGCACCTTCTGTAATAGGTCTGACTTATGTTATATAGAAATATCATTTAGCATTTTGGCTTGCATTGAAACTACTCTAAGAATTAATAATTAAAACAGTGAGCCATAAGAAGTATCAGTTTTAAAATGTATACACGTTTTTCTATAGAAAGAATAGTATCATGTAAAGAATGGGTATGCAGATCACCATCATGTAAAGGTCTTTTTGTACAGCAATATCAAGTGCATATTTCTGTTGAAATATAATAGTATTAGAGTCCTTACAAGGTATTGATCTTCATGATGAAATGACAAGTATATAAACTTCATTTAAATCTTGAAAAACTAAAATCTGTTCATCAGAATGCTGAATATTTGTCCCAGTATCAATGTCTGAATCAGGAAAAGACAACATACATCACATATGTTAGTTGTAATTTTGCAATACAAAATCACGAGAGTATAGTTATCAGAATTGTGGAGACTAATCCCTTAACAAATTGTAAACATATACAGGTAGCAGCATTTCTGTCCTTTTGGTTTGGAGCTTCGTAAAGAGAAAACAAATTTACAAGTCCACACACAGTCCATGAATATCACCGTAATATAGTCACGTGCATCACATTATTTTCCCAAGGTATTTAAGCAAGATTCAGAATTGTTACAAAATTCAAAAAGTGAAAAATGGATGGTCTAATTCCCAGGAATGGACAAATCTTGTAGAATCTTTTAAGGAAGGCTATGGCCCAAAAAGGGATGTTTTGCCATTGACAACGATGATTAAATGAGATTTGTAACAAATATGCACATTTACATATTTTTAGAGATTCTACATCATAAGCTCAAAATAATATGTTACGATTCAGACATTTTTGCCTCAAGTTTGCTAGGAAGAAGGGTATTAACGAACATTGAGAAATGCTCAGAAAGACACCAATTTAAAATTAAAATGTTTAAGATCTGTTTTAACATCTTTCATGTTTTTACTGTCTACTCAATTGAAGTTATCAGGGTAAAAGCATAGCAACTTTCCCCCTTACAAACCTACAGTCCAACAGGATATATCTAGTGCACATATTTAATATAAGATGTAAAGTACTGTAATTCTCTCTATTCAATTATATGTAGTGAAAATGGGGAGGTGAAATAAAATGACTCCCATCAGTCCTCTGAAAATGGGGAGGTGGAATAATATGACTCCCATCAGCCCTTCTATAACAGGTATAGCATCTTTAAAAGCCCAACTTCCTTTACATATTTCATTATTACTGAAGAAATAAGCAACTACACAGTGAAATAAATTGCCTGCAATTTCAGAAAAGGAATATGGTCCCTGCTTTCACAGTCCAATTATCATGTGTGATAACTTTTATCAAGTGTACTTCACAAGTTAGCTACAAATAGGAAGAACTGGATTTGAGATAGTTTTATAAAATCGTATCTGCCATCATTATAGCACCCTTTTAGAGTCCTACAAGATTCAAATAAGCAGTGATTTACAAATATAAATCACTCCGTAAGATTTGAGGCTTTCACGGCGGTGACTATGAAGAAAGCAATCTTCTGGGATTTGGCACCGTGTATATGTGGTGTTAACCGACGTTTCGGAGGAACGTATCGCCTCCATCTTCAGGGTAGAAGAAATAAGAAATCTGCAAAGCGAAGAGACCGTGAGAACCGGTGAGCAGACTGCTTTTACCGGTTCTCACGGTCTCTTCGCTTTGCAGATTTCTTATATTTTTCCTTCTACCCTGAAGATGGAGGCGATACGTTCCTCCGAAACGTCGGTTAACACCACATATACACGGTGCCAAATCCCAGAAGATTGCTTTCTTCATAGTCACCGCCGTGAAAGCCTCAAATCTTACGGAGTGATTTATATTTGTAAATCACTGCTTATTTGAATCTTGTAGGACTCTAAAAGGGTGCTATAATGATGGCAGATACGATTTTATAAAACTATCTCAAATCCAGTTCTTCCTATTTGTAGCTAACTTGTGAAGTACACTTGATAAAAGTTATCACACATGATAATTGGACTGTGAAAGCAGGGACCATATTCCTTTTCTGAAATTGCAGGCAATTTATTTCACTGTGTAGTTGCTAATTTCTTCAGTAATAATGAAATATGTAAAGGAAGTTGGGCTTTTAAAGATGCTATACCTGTTATAGAAGGGCTGATGNGAAAAAAAAAAACAAAAAAACAAAAAAACAACAACAACAGTGATTTCTTTGTCACCTGTTTCTTACTTTCAGCAATATGGTTCATCATGACAAGTACATTACACTATTAAATTCTAAAATGGAGCCATCATGATGCTGTCCTCTGACACTGTTTTAATAAGTTAATTACACTTCAGTTTCATGTTATATTTCATCTACTGGAAATTTTAAATTACATGTAAAGGACAAAAATTCATACATTAATATTGTAACGTGGATGGCGCAACAAGAAGTAGGGGTCACGTGAACCCTGCATTTCCACGAGTGATGTCACGTATCCCCACTCCTCCTATCATTACACAACGCTCGGTAAACACCTGTCCCCACTAGGTTGTGATGTCATGCAACAGGCGAGTCTGTGACTATTGCTAGACAATGTGTAGGTAGAAACACCTGACAACAATACCCGATATCTGTTGCCGAGCAGCAGTGTGTTCTCTATGTTGTATGTGCCGAGCCTAAATAAGGAGCAGCAAACACTATTTAGGAGGATTGAGTATTGAGTTACTAGCATCCAGTATCCAGTATTCGGAGTCTAGCAGTTATGAGTTGTTGTTGTATTGAGTGCATGGAAGTGACTACAGCAGGAGAAGTAATTACGATACTGCAGATGGCAGTAGTTGTGCAAGTGTAAGAGCGAATGTGGAATAAATTTCCTAGATCCAAGATGGTGTAAAGTTATCTGTCGAGTTACATACCCAACACATGACAGTATGTTCATTTTCAAAGCCCAAGAACAGAAAAATTGGGGGCACACAGTACCATAGTTGGTTGAAACACTATGCTACAAGCTGGAAGGTCACAGGTATGAGTCCTGATGAGGTTATTGAATTTTTCAATTGATCTAATCCTTCCAGCCACACTATGGCCCTGGGGTTGACTCATCCTCTAACAGAAATGAGTACCTGGAATCTTCCTGGGGTAAAGGGTGACCTACGCGTAAGGCTGACAGCCTCATTGCCATCTGCAAGCTGACTGTCTAGAAAATGTGGGAGCCTCGACATCTCACAACCCTATGGGCCTCCACGGTCTGTTACAGGGATAGCTTTACTTTTTTTTTTTAAGAACAGAAAAATTACAAAATACTCATCAAATAGCTAGTAGCCAGGCTGAGAATCAAACTTTGAACCTTGACAATAAACTGCTACACTCAGTGTTCAGTCTCAAAATTATATATGTTTTCTTCTTGTTTCCCACTTACATCTTCTGAATTCTTTAAGTCTTTAACTTCCAAACTGTCTCAAACACAGTAATGTAAAGAACCTTAAAAGTTGAGTCCATGACCATTGTGTCAATTACAATTATATTATAATATGAAAGAATTTTTTAAGTTTTAATGAAAAATAAAAGTACAATCTTACCTACAATGTTTCAGCATTGCTTTGACATTTTCAGGGGTATAGTAATTACAAAGCTGTTAGAAGACACAGTTATCCTTATATGTGATTATAACATTTTTCAGTTTTTTTTATTGCTAGTGGGGTGGGACTAAGTCCCTTGTACTGCGGCCACTTCTGGCCTATTGTACCAGCCCCAGATGATAGGTGAGGGTGACTGTGGAGCAACTGGTGAAATGAAGATTGGCAGGGGAAACCGAAGTACTCAGAGAAAACCTGCCCCACCGCCACTTTGTCCACCATAAATCCCACTTGACCAGACATGGGATCGAACCCGGGCCGCATGAGAAGCCAGTGACTAACTGCTTGAGCTATGGTGCGGCCCTATTTTTCTGTTAGTGGTAATATAATGGTCAGCAGAGAGGACTAAAAACTTTATGTTGGTGCTGAACCACTGGGAATGGGGGCTTCCAGGCTTAAAATTCCCAAAGTCTTAACTTTAGTAAGGGTGAAAATTTCAATCTATAACATTCTGCACAGTTCTCACTAGGGATCAAATTCAGAACTCTCCAGTGCTTTGTCCCAAGACCACCAGGTCACCATAAATATAATAATACG